GGTGCATGTTAAATCTGTTGGGGTCACAAAGTCCTCCAAGTTCTCAATCACCTTTTTTACCTTTCAAACATCAATTTTTTAATTTTTATGTGTGATTTGAAAACTATGCATTGCGATTCGTATTCATGTGACCTAGTGATTCGCATTTGAATGATTCAAAAATTCAATATCGCAAGTTGTATTTTCATTTTTTAAATTGCAATATTGCGATTCTTGTTAGAGCTTCTTCCTGAATTAGTTAGGGGAGGGGGGGTACATTTCAACATGGGGCACCTTACAACAACTAGAATTTCTGCCTTCTAATATTGCTTAATGATTGGCCAATATGACAGGTAATAAGCTTTAATTAAGTTTTAAGCAATTTTCTTTTTACCAGTGTTGTGTTACTTTGTGGAACATGTTTTAACATTCCAAAAGTAAAAAGACAGTTTTGATTTTAAAACTTTATCTACCAGTAATCTTTTAATAAGGTAAGTGATATTTATTCTTTAACTAGTGTATTTAATTCTGCTTCAAACTGTATTATTTATTAGAAATAAGTATTTTTCTAAAGTGGTTGATAATACTTTAACCAAAATGTCTGTACCAGGGGCAGATTTCAACAAATCTTAGGGGGCACGTTTCAACAGTGTTATAAGGTGCCCCGGGCTTATTATTTTTTTGTTAAGTAATCTTGCAGAAGTCATTAGTCTGCAAAAAGCCCATTAATTACGGTTGTTACATTTAAAATATTCAACTTTTTCTGCAAAGCATTAGTCTAAACTTTTTGAAAAACAAGTGTGTTCAAAGAAACAGGTTTGTATAAAATTTTTCAAAAATATTAATTTTTAATTAAAAGCTTAAAATCAAGATTCAGTTAGTTGCATTGTTATTTGTTGTTGAAAGTAGAATTTATTAACAAGGAATTAATTAAACGAGTCAATAAAAAAATTATTTTAAAATTTTATGAAAATATTCAAGAAAATTTGATTTAGAATGAAAATAATTTAATTTTAGGAAAATTGAAAAGCTTACAATATAACATTATATTTAATAAAATGCGCAATCCTGTTATTTTACCATTCTTACAGTTTATAAAAATGGTGCGAACATATAAAAAAAAGCGCACTAAACCAGAAGTTAGTGAAGAAAGCATTAAAAAAACAATGGAAGCTGTCAGAAATGGTGCATCTTTAAGAGCAACAGCAGAATTATTTGGAATGGACTTTTCAGCTTTATTTTATGGATTAAAAAAAAGAAAGTCAAATAATTGTTTGGTTCATGAAATCAAACAATGTACAACTAACACAAAATGCTACCGTTCTAAATACACAAGCCAACAAGTTTTGGATGTCCAGCAAGAAACCTTGCTTTGTGAATACATAATTACATGTTCAATTCTCAATTATGGTCTAACTCACAGACAAGTTCGACAACTTGCCTGTGATTACGCGAAGCGTCTCAACTCTGAAATTCCAAGTAGCTGGGACAGAAATGAAGCATCTGGAATTGACTGGGTTAAAGATTTTATACAGTGTCACCCATAGCTTACTTTAAGAAAACCGGAAAACAACAGCTTTGTAAAAGCTACAGCTTCTAATAAAGAAAATGTTGAAGACTTTTTCAACTATTATGAGAGAGCTCTTATTTCTGGTCATTTTACAGTTGATCAAATATATAATTTGGTGAAACTGGAGTTTTAACAGTTGTTCCAGCTCCAAATGTCCACGCTAGGAGCTCGTCAGGTGGGGCAGGTAGTTTTTGGAGAGCGAGGAGGCATGATTTCCATGTGCATGATAATCAGTGCTTTGGGAAATACTGTTCCTCTTGTATTTGTTTTTCCGAGGGCAAGGTAGCATGACTCTATGTTATTTGGAGCACCACCAGGGAGTTTAGGTTTAGTCAACAGTCCCAAAAGTGGATACATAACTGGACTTCTTTTTGTCAAGGTTTTCAAGCATCTTGAAAAGCATACCCGATGTTCTACAGAAAATAAAATACTTTTGGTGATGGACAGTCATGAAAGTCACTGTACACTGGATGCTATGCTGTTTGCTAAGGATAATGGTATTGTGCTAGTTACCCTTCCTTCGCATTGTTCTCATTGTCTCCAGCCTTTAGATGTTGGAATCATAGGGCCATTCAAATCTAAATTGAGAGTAGCAGAAAATGATTGGATAGTATTGAATCCAGGTGAGACCATTAGCATACATAACTTGGCTGCAATAACAAATACTTTAACATTTACAAACAAAAACATCATTGCAGGTTTCCAAAAAACTGGAATCTGTCCCTTTTCACGTTCCATTTTTTCTGATGAAGACTTTGAACCTTCTTCTGTAACAGTTTTACAAGCTTCTATTAATTCCAGCGAAATTCTTCGTGTGGATCAAATTGTTAAAGAAATGTGTAAATTAGTCTCCCAAGTACTAGTAAAGGAAATCATAATTTTTGTACACAAACAAGGTCAACTGAAAGAAAACCTAAAGAGCCTAGCTTAATAACACCTGTAGATGTGAGACCTTACCCTAAATTTATTACCATGGCTGAAAAAAGAGCTAGGAAAAAAGGAAAGAAAAGCCACATTCAAGATGAAACTATTTGAAGATTGGAAAAGACGAGGAATCCAATCTCAAATGAAATTAAGCTCAAGTTAAAACCATCAAAAAAATTGTTATTTGTTGAATCTTCTGAAAGTGAGTGCAGAGGACATTTCTTTACACACTGAATCAGAATGTGAAGATTTTTTGACGCCTTCCACTACAGATATTGAAGAACAGATGGATTTTGAGATAACTGATAATACAATAATAGAGGTTAATGACTTTGTTCTTGTTGAGTTTTGTGGAAAGAAAAAAAAAGTTCTATTTGTAGGAAAAATTGGAGATAGAAGAAGACAGCTATAAAGTAAACTTTATGAGAAAGAAGGAAGATTCTTGGAAATTTTATTTTCCAGAAAAAGAGGATATTAGTAGTATAGAAAGGAATGACATTAAAATGAAACTGCCTCAACCAAGTTTAAATGGCGGAACAGTTCGAGTTGTATTTTTCATGACATTCTCCGTTAACTTTGATTTAATTAAAGACAAAATAATGTAGAAAAAACCTAAATCACTCCAATCTGTTCATTCAATATTTTATTATTATTTTATAAATAAGTGATTATGATTATAAAGTTAATTTTCCAAAATATATGTATGATCTTGTTAAGTTATCTTCGATTGTTGAAATGTGCCCCACCACCCGTTGTAAACTGCCCCCCCAGGAGGGGTAGATTTCAACAAAATACATGGTTCACTAAATATGTAAAATTAGGTATTTTGTCTTTGGCTTAGACTTTTGGAAAAAATTGAGAGGTTTCCTCAAATATCAATTTAGTAAATAAAAATAAGAACTTAGATTTTGAAAGCAATGAAACTTCCCAAATAATTATTTAGCAAAAAATGTTGAAAGGTGCCCCCCTCTCCCTTACTCTAAAAGTGTGCTGTATTTTGCATTAGAAAGTAATTTAATTGTAAATGTTAATTCAAAAAATTACGTTTAATATGAAAGATATATTATATATAATTTGATATCTATTTTTTGTACATAAAATTTTCAGGGTTTTTCACTTTGTGCCACAATTACCCCTGCTTGATCCAACTATCAGATCTTCACCTTCTAGGATTCAATAATAGTTTGAGAGGATGATGCCAAATGTGCTATTTAATTATTGCAGATGATATTTTAAGTTATAAAATCAGACACAAAAACTTACTTTCTTTACGTAAACATAAATATTTTTTAGCGGATTCAAATTTCTAACCCTCAAAATTTCGTGAGTGGTCGCAATCTAGGAAAAATGATCCGCATAGTTTTGTCAAGAGAGCTGCCCAAAGTTTGGACCCCATAATGTCAACTGTATTTTTTACATATTTCGCCATATCTCAAAATCTTTTATTCAATGAATTTAAAAACTTTTCGCACAATTTTAAATTTTGTTTATCCAAATGTAATTCCGCTCAAAATATAATTTTTATTAAATATTTAATATTCTTTATTCTTTTATTTTAAATGTTCAAAAAAATTTTGAATTGTAAGGTATGGAATTTTTTGCATGATTTTAACGAGTATAATTTTACATTGCAAAATACAAAATTGGAGCAAAATCGGTTGAGTAGTTCTTTAGTAATTGAAATTTAAAGAATCCTTATTTTTAAGATATGATTTCTCAGTTACTATTCTACCGATTTCATTAAAATGATGCGAAAACGATTGTTTACCTTACAATTCAAACTTTTTTTTTACCATTTTTGATAAAAATAATAAATATTTACTAAAATTTTGCATTTAATTATCTTTAGATAAATGAATTTTATAATTGTGTGCAAAATTTTTTGAATTCACTTAAAACTGTTCTCATGATACAGCCAAATGTATGATGAGCACCAATGACCAATATTTATCATTATGTGCATGAAGGAATTAAATCACAACTCCAAGATACCTCAGATCCCTTCTTAGTGCAGCTACCGGAAGATTGGTGTCAACTATGTGTAGAAGGCATGTTTGGGATGCTTGAGGAGGATGTGTAGCTGCTCTCAATCCTTCTCCTAATCCTATCCTTTGTCATGCTCTCAACTGCTTCACAAGAACAATAGCTCTCATTTCCAATTAAATTGGTAGACCACATAATTAAAAGCATAGCACATCAATGTATGGCTGCTAGAAGTGATTATACTCCTTACTGAAGGTACTTTTTCTAGCCCTAAACTGACTTAATTCATTTCATACGTATGCTTCTTTCCATAACAATAACACCATAACTGTCTGGTAAATGCTTTTTATGTTCTAAGTTATTACGTGCACTACAATATGTGCAAGTTTCATTAAATTCTGTTCGTAATTTTTTGAGTTAGGGTCATTTTGTGATTTTTCCTTTATTTCTGATAAGCAGTGTAGATTGTTATTGATATTGAATTGCTGAATTTGTGTTAAAGAATTCATCTTTTTATGCTCATGTATTATTTAATTTTTTTCAGTTATGCGGCTAACTAAGTTGTCACTATATACCACTCACCTAGTTTCATGTGATTCTTCTTATTTTTCTTGCAATATTCTTGCAAATGAAGTGGAAAAAGATATTGGATCTCCTAAAGACTTAGAACTTTTCAACTCTGGTAATTTATTGATGTTACCTCAAAGTTTTGGGTAAGATATTTCTTATGATGAACTATGACTTGTCTATTTTGCTTAGCAGGCTATTAAGTTATGCTTTTTAAATTATGCATGCTTAATATTAAGGATGTAAAAGGGCTGCATTTTTATTTAAAAAAATAAATAAAGCTTGTAATTTTGATGACTTTGATTTAATCTTGCTTTTACATGAAAGCATTAAAATTTAAGGAATAGCTGTAGCTATACATACTTTTTATCGTGTTTATCAAGTTGTGTGTATAATATTTTTATTTGATTTATATTGCTATTTTTTATTATCAGGCATCATGTTTGTGGAGGAAAGGAGTATTTTCAATTTAAAAGCTTTTCAGTCTTCGCCATGTTTTAAAATTACACTCATGTCTTTAATTTCTGTCTGCTTTCATCATTCACTTCTTTTAATCTGATTACAAATCCTTGAAATTTTTATTTTTGGCAACAGACATTCCCGAGCTTTTCTATTCTAGGCTATTGAGCTCATTTTTCAACTAACAGTGATGTCAAACTAGCAGTTTTTGAAACTTTTGTGTAGGAGATAACAATGAATAATTTATTGTTAGTTGACGGGAAAAAACAATCAAAAATCAATCTCATTATTTAATGAATCTCACCTTATCTAAAGCAGTGAATTGGTTTGAGCTGTTTCAATATCTCATTAAAAACAATCATAACACAAAAACACATAAGCCATAAACACAAAAGTAATATATATTGAATATATATATATATGTCATGCCTTCTGTAATAAATAGAAATTTATTATAGTTTTTTTTTCAATACTTTTAAAGATAGATTATTTTTCTGTAGATGGCACCACTACGGTAAAGTTTAAATTCAATCATAATAATTTGTTTTTTTAGAAATTTTGAATTAGTCGTTTAAAATGGGATTTTTGGGGTGAAATCTGGGTAACTAAATTTATTAATATTTATTGAGGATGGTAGTATAATTTCTATGGGGTATCGGTGGATTTATGACGGTTTTTCTCAGGGATATTTTTTTTTGGTTCTGACGTCCGCCGGATGCGGGATGACTCTGGACGTGGTAAACAGGTCAGTCTAGATTCTTTCGCCTTGTTGAAGGGAGGATAAAAGAGAAGCGATGAATGTGGCTAAGCGCAGTAGTAATCAGCAGTAGCAGTAAACCATTAACCAGAGCAGTATCCTGAGAATACGGAGTTTGTCCGCTGAAAGAGTGGTTCGTGACAGTACCTCGGAGATGGTGGATCGTAACCTTAGGGAAAGGTAAACTGAAGTCTCTAGCGGGAAGGACCACCAGGATTAACCGAAAGCCGATATCCTCGAGGCGATGGACCAAGTCCGAAGGAATCTATGTGGGACATCCGGTGTTCCCCTTCTACACGCCTAAGCCGATTGAAGTTAGAATAGCTGGAGAAATTTTGAGATCTTAGCTGAGGAGTTTGTCCATGAGTTCATCTACCATTCCGGTGGGCGGTTCCAGAGAGCAAACAGTAAATTCTTTTGGGTACTTATAAAACTTTAAATTTTATTTCGTTAACATTTTAGAGGAATCATTTACCGTAAATTCTGAACTGTTATGTTGTGTTGTTTTGTGTAGGAGAACAATCAGTATTTAAGTGTGATGTATAGATATCATAAANAGGAGAACAATCAGCATTTAAGTGTAATTTATAGATATCATAAACCAAGTCTGGGTTTTTAGAAATGTTAAATGAAGTTTTTATTTTATAAATGTCTTTTTTTTGAACTGTAGAAGTTGAAGGTTATGCTTGAGTGTTTTAAGGTTGCATTTTTGTTTTAATTAATGTATAAATGTTTATTCCCATGTTGGCATTTGGAAATGTGTGAAATTATGTTTTTGAAGATTTAGAGGTGCAATAAAAATGAGTTTTAAATGTTAAAAGTTTTCTGTAATTCATTAGATATTTGTCTACTAAATAAGCTGGGTAACTGTTACTAAATTTAAATTTTGAGATCACAGCCAAAGGGGTAACGGTACACTTCTTCCTGTAGTGATTTCTCTCTGTGTTTCTGTGCAGTACTTTTGAGCCGAGTCTTTCATTTTATCATAATATTGCAGTCTATAATATTTGCAGTTGTAATTCAATATCCATTTTTATTATAATTTTTCTAGACTTTTATTGAGAAAAAAAGTTAAAAAGCTATTTACAAATTATGTACAAGGAGCAGAGCTCCTGGACACAAATTTACTAGGCCATTTCCAAAAGATAAGTGTGCACTTTTTTCCAAGTAGCTTACAGTTATTCTTTCATGTCATGTGATCTATAATATCCAGACTTCTTTGTTATAATTGACGCCTTAAGATCAGGGCCGGATTAACCTATAGGCACACTAGGCACGTGCCTAGGGCCTACGAAATTCAGGGGCCTACGAAAAACTTGGGAGAAAAAAATTTGTTGACAAAAATAATTTAGCTTTAAAAACAGCAAGTGTATTTTGCTCAAAATTATGAAGATACAAGTAAAAAATATGATATTTTTCGGTAATAAATTATTTTGCAGAATCTTATGATCTAATATATTACTTTTTTTCTATTTTTGGATTCAACGAAATCTTGTATTATGCTGTCGAATTCCAAACTATGCAAAATGTCGTATTCAATAGACATAAGTGCGAGCGATGCCAAACAATCTTGATTCATTGTTGAACGTAAATAATTTTTTATCAATTTTAATCTGGAGGAAGATCTTTCTCCTTCTGCATTTGATCCAAGAATCAACAAATATATTCTTAATGCAATGTGAACGTTAGGAAAAGTATTCACAAGTTTATCTTTAATTTGAGCCTTCAACATTTCTTGTGCAGATTTATGCTCATACAAATTTGAAAATAGTAAAAATTCATCTGCAAAGTTTTCCTCTAAATCGGATGAGTAAATTTTCACCAAATTTTGCGCTTTTAGTTTAATCTCAGATTCTGACAAATATCGGCAGTATGTTGATATTGCAGATAAAGTTCGATAAGCGAATTTGTAAATTAAAATCCATAGTAATAAAAATGTAAAAAAGAATATGCAAGAAAATGTTAGCATATATTTTGAAAAGAAAGGAGGAGTGGGGGAAGGAGGGGAGGGCCCAAAAACGGCTATGCCTAGGGCCTACGAAAGGTACAATCCGGCTCTGCTTAAGATCATACGATTGGATGAGGATGAATTAATATCTCAAAATATTTATTGATTTTAATGGGAATTCAGCTACATTAAGATATTTTATTGCACAGTATGGACTCATTTTATAAATAAAGATTACATTGCTATTCAATGAAAGTTAATATATATGCGAAGAGTTTAGTTAATTATGTGAAAGAGATTATTTGAAGTTCTCATCTGTTAGAAAGGCTAGTCTACAATTAAAATATACTTCTTTTTAGGTTCAGTTTTAAAATCCATTTAATTCTATTAAGCTATTATTTTAGAAGTTACAATATCCCCCCTCTCAAAGGTGTTGACCCGGAGGTGATCAGGCTCCACATCTCATTGGGGAAAGATCAAAATCCTTACTTACCATCATCTATTCAAACTATTTAAAATTAATATTAATCTGGATGATTCAAATCACATGATCTGAATTACAAAAGCAATCTAAAAATAAAAACAATATTCAAATGTTATGTTAACAAAACATATGAAACTACCTCAATTGCAATGGTTTCATACTAACTTTCAAAATATTTAAAAAATAAAAACATTTATAAGAACACTCAATATTCTACTTCTTAAGATGCTATAATAACATCTGATATAGTTGCAACTAAACAATAGGCATTAAAAAATTGCTACCTAGGTTTAAGTCCTTGTGACATAAGTCACTTGATTGAGTATCCATTAGCATACTTATAAAAACTTCATTACAAAACTCTTAAATCTTCATCTTACAAAACTTTAAAATACTCATATATTTTCTCTTTTCTGTTATTCTTTAAAATAGTAATATCTAAAATATTTTCTTTAACTAACTCCTTAAAAATACTTCATGTGAAGAAAAAAAAAACTAAATCTCCTCTTTATTTCTTTAAATCTCAAATATACTTCTTAATCTCAGTAATTACTACTCTTTCTAGTACATATTTTACAACTACTTTTCTTATTTTCACAAAATATTCATTTTTAATACTCATTTCTGCAAACATATTCATTTTTAGGTACTCATTTCCACAAACAATATTCATTTTTTAGTACTTATTTCCACAAACAATATTCATTTTTTAGTACAGTACAGAACCCGTTATCCGGAAATCAGAAAACCAAAAAACCGGAACGAAATTTGATAAATTTTCCTACCATTTTTTTAAAAAAAATGTTTTTTTCCTCATAAGATTTCAGGATTTTTCTTTCTTTTTTGAAAGATGTTTACCTTACCATCATTTTGGAAATAATCATTAGTGTATTACTTCATCGTTTTTTCTTCTTTTTAAGATTATTTCCAAATATTTTTTTTTTTTTAGTTGAGTTTGACAATAAAAAAAAACGGCTTTTTGTAGCGATTCAGAAAACCGGAAAAATCAGTTATCCGGAATAGCGATGGTCCCGATCGTTCCGGATAATCGGTTCCCTACTGTACTTATTTCCACAAACAATATTAATTTTTTAGGTCTAAAAATTAAAAACTCACTTTCTTAAACATTTTTGGCATCATTGCCATTTCTCATTCTTTGTGACTATATGTCATTATAACCTTAATGAAGTATAGACACCTTTATAAAATACAAACATCAAAATATGACGTAAAAAAAATACAATTCAAAAAACATAAATTCCACTTCACCTCATATCATTTCACCTTGGACACATCTGTGTCTTTAATTTGGAATTTAGGATTCCAATATTTTTAAAGGGAATTTGCTTGATAAGGGACTCTGTTCCTCAACAGGAGGAAAACAGCCCTGAATCACAGCTATCAGTGTTATGGAAGATCCTGGAAACTTTAATTGTGTCATCATCAATTATATGCATTTGTGGTTTAATATTTCCACAAAAACAAAAGATGAAGAAAA